TCGTATAATCTGCGGTCACGGGGTCTTGCGCCTCTCTTAGCACAAGGTAGCCATCCCCGCTGTTCGTTACCAGTTGTTCGTTCGCGCGAAGATTTCCCCATCCTTCCGCGTGTCGCTGTAGCCGCTCCTTTCGAGCCCTTGCTCTCGTGCGTCCTTGACTCCTCCTGGCAGCTCCATTTCCTTTCTATTTCCTCTTATCCGGTGTTCTGGCTCGGGGTTTTCTTATACTCAAAAAAAAATATATTGTAACCGCGGGTCATATTGCATGCACTAACTGTATACGAATCCAAAAATCTGTTAACTCGGTCGCCTTCGCTTACGAGAAGGCGCGAGTTTCCGGCTCTTCCTCGGCCAGGCTACGGCCTAAGTAACGAGCAAAAATTTGCATCGTCACATGACATGTAACCTACGTGAACGCGTTCTGTAAAATGTGATATATAATTTATTATTTTTTTAAACAATGCGTGTTATCATTTTGCAAGTAAAGAATAAATTTAATAAATAAATTTCCGATATTTCTACAATAAATATATTTTTTGTTTCATAAAAATATTTATTTATAAACATTTATTTTTGGCACTCTGAAATACTATTTTCAATGATCAGAAAAAAAATTTTTTTTCAAACGCATACTGTAATCATATTTTTTTCTATTAGAATTATCTTTCAACATCATCACTTTACTGTTGTAGATTAAAATAATAATATGTATAGAAATTACAATTTTTTAAGTAAAGCATTATCATTCGCGAGACCACTCTTTAAATTCGATTTTTTTTTAGTAACTTAAAACTTTATTTTCTACGAATGCATGACTAAACATTAAAATAGAAGAGTTACACTTTATTCTAGAATTTTGTCATCCTCTTCTTTTACAGCTTTTAGGTATGGAATTTAGAAAATCGTATAAGGTCAATATGACTCGTACGTATAAAGTCAATATGACTCTGTATGCGGTGCGAGCGATTTTTAAGAAGTGTCCGAAATGTTCACAATGCGGTCGAAGGGTTAAAAAAAATGTGTATCTACATATTTCAAACAACATGACACATTCGTTATTATTCCTTACAGCCTTAATGCCATTAATTGACATGATTACGAAGGACTGGATAAAAACGAAGATAGAAGAAGAACGAAACGTTATGCTGCAACAAGCCAGAATCAGTCGCATATTCACCATGTGCGGTGGGCTCATGATACTTTCAACACTAGTTATTGGTATCGTTCTCCCGTATTTTGGATTGACACTCAGGCAGGTGACGAACCTGACCGACCCTGGAAAACCTTTGTCAATACAATCGTACTATATATACGACGTATCCAAAAGTCCACAGTACGAATTGACGTTTCTGATGCAAGGGATCGGGCAGACACTGTCGGGATTCACTTACACTGCGGTAGACACCTTCCTTGGATCATTAATTCTGCACATTTGTGGCCAGATGAAGAATTTGCAGACGCGGTTAGCAAATTTGGGGAAAAACACAAATTACAAGGTGGCTTTGAAATACAATGTTAAAGATCACATCCGCTTGATCAGGTTCTTAAGTTAAAGAGATTTCTAAGTATAAATTAAATTATGCTAAAAAATGTGACTATAGTATATATTTAACAATATGATGTGGAATGAAATTAATTTTTTGAGAAAATTACAATTACAGATCTATCCAAATAATTGATAATACTTTTCATTTAATGCTGCTCGGTCTGTTCTTTTTATTTGGTGTACTATTTTGTCTTCAAGGATTTCTAATAGTTAATGTAAGTAAAATAAAGTCCTGAATTATATATTTTAATATTTTTCTTTGTCGATAATTCGGGGCTTTTACTTCCAAATCGCTGAATTTTTTCAACATGTTGCGATGTAATCGTCGTTTCTCATATCGTAATTTTTGCATGTGGCACAAACTTTGTGGCATCAAGCATTTGTTTTGTGACAATTTAGGTTATTAATCAAGGAGGTCATTTATCAGTTATGCAATTGATTTGGTTCCTTGCCGCTAGTGTATGTGTTTTGTTGCACATGTGTCTCTACTGTGTGGCAGGTGAATTTCTCGTAACGCAAGTAAGTGCATTAATACCATTGTTACTTTAATATATATAGGGACGACGGGAATATACATAGAATCATCAATTCCTTCAATTTAAAGTATTTTGTATAATCTCTTTTTATAAACAGGAATAGTTAAACAATATTATAATTAATATATAGTCTTAAAGTACATTACAACTTTTCTCCATATGACGAAATCAATTTTTTAAGGGGGAAGTCTACTGTAAAATTTTCAAAAAATCAATTTTTTGTTTATTGGCTTAAAAAATACTTTGAACCCTCTAAAATAAGGTACATTAGGTGTTATAGCCGGCTAAATTTTTCTTCATTGAAATTTCGACCTTTTACCGAAGCGCTCCGAAACGCGTACCTGCGGCAAATTTCTATCTGTTCGGCGGATACAGCGTAATGACTTGCAATTCAATTTCTAACATTTCTAATACTCCAAGTCAATCAACAGATGTCACTAGATATATTTTATAGTCAGTTAGAAGCGATTTCAACAGATGATCTGGTCGTTAGCTTTGAAACAAACATTCAGCGGCGCAAAAACCGTCGATATTGCGTCGTATTGTGCTGCGAGCATTTTCAATGAAGGCTACTCCAGTATCCTCAAAATGATGGACGTTATGAACATCAAAATTGGACCAAACGCCTTCAATTTATGCAACACCGTGGACGAGCGCAGAATATCACAAGCAAACGAACGGTCGTTCGACGCTTCAAAAGAAGGAAGAATCGAAAGAAGAACGGCACGATCGGCACTCGAAGAGGATTTCCTTGAAGAAGAAGGTGTACTATATGAAGCAGGAATGGGCGATTAATGGTAAGAAGCTTAAAAATGATTTTTTCATTGAAAAAACTAATGCCGAAACTTTAAACGCGTTTTTCTCGAAACTAAGTTTTTCAATACGGTGTACACGATATCTCGAGTTTTAATGAATGAATCGACTTGAAATTTTAACCACATATTCTCTGGAATAGTGTCTCTCGTCTGGCGGAGCATTTTTTTGATATCGTTTTTTGTGTAATTGTTATAAACAATAATAACATCAAATTTGGGCAAAAAAATAGAAAAAAATTTCAAGAATTTTTTTTTCGGCGCCAAAATTTTTTATCGACAAAATCCTCCGTCAGACGAGAGTCAATACTATGTAGATGATAACCATATTTTGTTTTTTGTTTCAGATCACCCAGACGTGAGATTTCATGTACACCGTTTGGGCACCTAAAAAAAACGGACCTGCACTTGAAGGAGTGCCACGACGGCAATTTTGAATATTTCGACTTGAAAATTTTTTTACAAACACTTTAATATATAATAAAGATGACGGTTTAATTTAATTTAATGTACGAGTCATATTTTGTTAGAAAAAAAATTCGGAAAATCGGCCTGTTTTTTCCCTTGTCACAGTAGACTTCCCCCTTAATCAAGATTAAATCAATTTTTCAATAATCGACCGCAATTAATACTGTATATAAATAATGTTTTTTCAGTCTGAAAAAATGCATCGTACCATATATGAATCTGAGTGGTACATTGTCGAACCACAGTTAGCAAAAGACTTAATACTAATAATGCTGCGTGCGAATAAACCACTCTACGTCACAGCAGGGAAAACATTTCCCTTGACAATGGCCACGTTTTGTAGCGTAAGTTTCATAAATTGCAATAAGTGCATTGTTATATTTTTTACATTGCTTTGAAAGTATTTCTTAAATTTGATTGTTTTGTACTGTCGATGACTTGTTATAACTTAATTGGAGAAAAAATATTTGATAATAAATATATGTACCAAATCATCATTATCCATTTTTTATTTACTATTTTATTATTGCAGTTATTGAAAACATCGGCAGGCTATATCTCTGTGTTACTTGCCAATCGAGATTAATGACATCGCGATTAGTAAAAAATTTAGTCGATATTTTAGTATAAAATTTAAGAAAATTTGATAGATTTTTAGTATGACATAATAATGAAAAATAAAATGTAATTTTTGTTATATACGTATTTATAGTATAAGGTCAAACATGACAAAATGTAGAAAATATGAGATTGCTGTATATTTGCTAATAAGAATAAAATCAAGTAAGACAAATTGCGCGATCAGAAAAATTATAAATCATTTTGTAATTATAAAGATACTGAAACATTATCAATGTTGTATGTACTTACACGTATCTTGAAACGTTTGAATCTATATAGATTTTGGTCTTTCTCTATTGTACGTGCTCAACTGCATGTTTCGTTGAGTTGTCCGGTCATTGTCCGGTTTATGTCATTAATTTCAAACATGCCTGTGTCCCATTTATTCTCTGAATGTTCAGACTGAATTATCGTCGTCTCATTATGACTACCGCTGAAGGTGGTAAAGAATTATCATAATACATCGTCCAAGTGCTCATTTTAATAGCAATTCTTTCATGTAGTGAGCAATTTTTATGAATGAGATGAAAGTAATCGAATTTTCGAATTAGATTCCTAAACAAAATCACTTAATCTATATGATTTAAGATGAAATTATTTTTTGTTATAGATATATAAAATGAAATAATTTCTGTAATAGATTCGTTCAAGCTATCGATGACACTTTAAATGATGCTCATTCTATATTTTTCTTATTTGCTCTAAGAAAAATATTTATTAAAACCTAATAAATTTTATTTGATTGAAAAAGTGATTTATTTAATATATTTCTATCAAAATAATTATTTGATTGATATTAATATATTTTTTAATAAAAAAAAATGTTTCTTAATTCTGGAAAAAATATTTTGTTTAGATTGAAAAAATGTTTATTTGACTTGAAGAAATAAAGCTTCAAGTAGAAGAAAAAGATGTCAATTAAAGGGAATATTTTTTAATATCAAAGAAATATTTCTTCTAATTACAAAAAAATATTTTCTAATAACAAAAAATATTTTTTTTAATTATCAGCTAATTTTTAAACAGAAGTTCCTATTTACATTATATTTTTATTTTTTTCTTTAGAAAAAAATACGTATGAGACTTTAACTGCTTAGTTTAATTTAAATTGTATGTGGAGAATTTACTTACTCTGCTGAGATTCAAACCTGAGACAGAGGGGACGGTGTTGATGTGTCAGCGTCATCTAAATGAGGACGCTGACCATCCTGATTTCGATATCTCTATTGTAGAAATGCCAGGTTGCATTTCTGCATAGCGACGTTTGGTAATTCGGAGCCGTGGCCCCGTTTATGGTCTTTGACATACTTTATCGTTGCGCTTAGAACATCCCTCCCCCGTTGGAGAGAGAAAACGGAGGGACGACGTTTTCGTTTTACAATAGTTTTTCCCGTGTACAATATTTTATTATAATCGTTTGATTTTTTACCAATTACTTTATTTCTATTCGCTGATTTCGTTACGGCGGGTTTTCTTTTAATTTACAGCGATGTACTCTTATCTTTTGTCTTATGTCGCTGTTGCGGCGTTCTATAACAATGGTGTTATCATTATTTTTTGTAATGGTTTGTAATTTTCTTAGTATCTGTATTATAACTATAATTACAATTATAATGATTATTCCACTCGGCGCGGTTGAATAGATTAAATATTTATGTTTTTGGAAAGAACTTTGATTTTCTAGATCTTGCTGTATTTCGGACAATCTATTTCCTAAATTTGTTAATTCCGCGGGGTTCCGTATTACCTTTTTCAGTGTTAAAGTTTGTGTTGTGTTGTTTTTGTTTTGATTCGCTGTGATTTCTTGAGAAAACGTGAGATTATATTCTTGTATACTTATTTGTATGTCGTTAATTTCAAAAGTCTCTTGGGTCTGTATTATAGTGTCTTCTATTGTAAGTCTACATTGCTGTTGAAATTGGATAATTCCTAATTTTAAAGTTTTCTCTCGGCATTCCTTATTATGTTTACAATCTGTCATTATCGGTTGTGCGCTATGCATTGAATACAGCCAATTGTTGTTTTTTATCAATGAAATGATTACAGTGTGATTTATGTTGACGTAATTAATATTACAATTTTCGAGTGTTTTTTGTGCGGTGTACATTTGGAACTCACAGGGTGAATCGGAGTGTATACGATATATTGGGGTATTGTGAGAATATGTGTACCGATTCCCTAACTTAATACATTTGTTTAACTCGTTTTCGGTCAAAACTAGGTATGTTTTACCTTCTGTGTTAACAGCGATTTTTGTATGTATGACGTCTGTCAGTGCAAATACGTTATCATGAACATGTATGGGAAGAGGTATTACTTGTACTATTTCATAAGCTGGGTAAGTTATCAACGGTATCTTTACCAGGTGTAGAAGTTTGAAACCGGAATTTTTTGTAAAAATTACACATCTGTTGTTTAAAAATGATAAAAAATATTTTATTCAAAATAATGTCCATTGCTTTTTATACATTTTTTCCACCCCTCCGGCAGTTTATGAATGCCACCCCAAAAAAACATTTCTTCCTTTGAAGCGAACCAGCTATCGAGTCATTTTCGTACATTTTCATACGAATTGAAGCGTTGTTCAGCGAGAGCGTGTCCCATTGATGCGGATAGATGATAATCGGACGGAGCCAAGTCTGGAGAATAAGCCGCATGCGTTAGTATTTCCCAACTGAACGCCTCGATCGTTTCTCTGATCCGTTTTGCTGTGTGTGATGGGGCATTACCATGGAGCAAAATGACTTTGTGTTGCCTTTTTCCATATTCCGGTCGTTTTTCACGCGATTTAAATCGAAAATTTGCTGTTGGTAGCGATCAGTGTTAACGGTTTCACTAGGTTTTAGCAGNAAAAACCAATGCTGTCCGCGAATCGTAGTTCGTAGGCACAAAACTCGACATGTTTAAGATTATAGAAAAATATACCGGTGTATGGAACTTGGGTTGTTGTGTGTTGTAAATCTTCGTCAGCTGTTAGATGATGGCGCTGCAGAAGCGGTCTTACGGCCCCTAAACTGATGGCTAACACCATCTATAGGGAAATTCCGGTTTCATACTTCTACACCTGGTAAAATTCTTTATATATTTCTTTTTTTATAATACGCGCTAATTGTTATATATCTGCTTATTTGCAGCCAATTTTCTACTGAAAGAATAATTGTAAAATGAATACTTTCAGGTAGATGTATTACTGTTTCTTTAAGATTTTTAATTATTTCTTCTACCGGTGTTATCTGTGGCAATTTTCCTTGATTTATGTTATTTAGATAAATCATTATATTTTCTTGATCGCGCATAAGATCGGTAATTTCTGCATTTAGAATTGTAAAATGTTCATTTACCTCTTTCCCTTCGATAAATTAACTTTGTTTTATGGCAAGTTTACTTATGCTAGTTATCAATAAGTCATTGTTTTCCTGTATCGTTTCTTCGATGGTTTTCATGTGTCCTATTGTTTTATTTAAAATTTGTAACTGATTTGCCACCGTATGTTTTAGAGTTTGCTGGTTATTTTCTAGTAGACTTAATTGTTCATTTATTATTTTTTCGTCGTTTGCGTCCATTATTCCGAATAGGGTTTTTGTTATAGAGCCTACTCCGTCAATTATGCCTCGTCGTAAATTAGGGGTGCTTTTAAATATATTTTTTATACTGTCTGTTGTTTTGCGTACTCGTTCTAGATTTTTTTCTGTAATTTTGCGCAAGTTTGCACATATGCGCGAGGAGTGGCATGTTAGCATTGTTTGATGAAGATATTCTTTTATTTTGTTATAGCGATGGTTTAGAGATTCGATGTCCAGTTTAATTACCACCTTCCAAGTTGCGACTACCTGGTGAAGTTGTCCCAGTTTATTAAAGTATAGCCCTGGTATATTCCGAAATTCTTGAAGTATGTAGGGCTTTTCTTGGAGCTCCCTCGTTGTGTATATAATGCTACTGAATATGGTCATCCTGCAATTAAATAGTGAAGGAAGAATGTGAGTTGTGCCTTCTTCCGATATTTATTCTTCTTCGTAGTCGTATTTCGCTCGTATGTGGTGTTTGTTTTTTTTTTACATTAGTTATTAATGTAGTGTTTTAGGCGATTTGCGTGAGTTGTTAGGGTTTTTCGACCTCTTTTTATAATGTAGTTAACATCAGAGTGTATTTTTATTATTTCATACGGCCCTATCCACATAGCGTCGAGTTTCTTTGATCTTTCTCGGCGTATGGTTTCATCGTATAATAATACTTTATCGCCTACTTCGTAATGGATCCCTTTTGTTTTTTGATCGTAGTATCGTTTGCTCTTCATTTTTTCTTCTTTGACATGTTCCCTTGCTAGCTGATTTGTTGCGCGTAATCTCTGTTTGAGTTCTTGAGCGTAATCGTCGAAGGTGTATGCAGCTTCAGGTTTTGATATACGACAAAGGGTAATGTCGCTTCATGTCCGTATAATAGTTCAAATGGTGTATAGCCTGTGCTCGGATGCGGGGTCGTGTTATATGTAAAAATTGCGTATGGTATCCATTTATCCCAGTCTATTTGTTCGCTATTAATGTAATGTCTTAGGTATTCTGCTAATGTTCTACGCGAGTGTTCTAGCGCGTCATTACTTTGCGGATGATACGCGGTTGTTTGTATTTTTTGTATTCTCAATAATTTGCAAGTGTTTTCGAACACATTGCTTAGGAAATTCGTTCTTTGATCCGTTAGTATTTTGTCAGGGACCTCGTATTCCAAAATTATTTTGTTTACAAATTCTTTAGCGATAGTTGAGGCTTCTTGATTTGTTATAGGTATCGCGTTACTGAATTTAGTTAAGTTGTCTTGAAATGTTAGTACGTATTTATTTCCATTTCCTGTTACTGTCAATGGCCTTACTACGCCTAATGCGCATTTTTCAAATGGTTTGCGCGGCGTGATTACTAGAGGCATTTTAGTTTTTTGGGAAAATTTGTTTCTTTGGCAAAGCTCGCATTTATT